TATATATATATATATATATATATATATATATATATATATATATATATATATATATATATATATATATATATATATATATATATATAATAAATAGAGTGAAAAGTATGCAATTATAATTAAAAAAAGTTTTCCGAGCTTCCCGAGTCGATAGTGATATAACCGTATATTGGAGGAATTATAAATACATATGCAATTATAACAAATTATTGACCTTATGCAGTTTACGAAATTCAATATTCTACATAGTCACTGACTTTGCTTCTTATGACTCACAATCAACTTTTCTTCCGCCCGTCGAACTGCCATCGGTATGCGTGAATCGGTTTTTGTGCGATAATTACCCAGTAACTTTGGACAGGACACTAGTCCTTTTGATATGTTATCCATCTGCAATAAAAAGTTGATTTACAATAAATACTGGGAAATAAGTACCATCAATAATGTACGAGTAAACTGAAATCAAATAAATTTTTAAGTTATAAGTGGTCACGTTACAAAAGCTATCATGTAATAATTAGGAACTATTAAGGAGTAGTTATTAAACATAGGAATAATTTAAAAAAAGAAAAATGTAAAATTATCGCAGGAATATAACAATCCTTATTTTTCTAAAATTAAAAATTTCACTAACAAAAAGCTATGTAAGTTACCTTTTTCAACATGTCGTAGATAATACGATCTCCTACATATGAATCATGTTTGTAATCAGGATGTTCACAAATAAATTCCCTCATCCATGCAGCTAAAGTTTGCAACTCACCAGAAGCTCGTTTCTGAAATATTTTGCATCACTTCGAAAATTCAGTAAACATTTAGAGAATTAGGTCTATTCATATAGTAGTTCCCAATCTTTGACCAGAGATCACTTTGAATTATTTGCAGTATGGATCATCAGGTCCAAAAATAATAATTCTGTTAATTTGAAAATATACTTTGATCAAAAAGAACTCTGTAAATCTAGTAAACCTGGAGTAACATCACAATATCAAAAGAATAGCCCTTGCGCTCTAAATTTTAGTGCTTAAGAACCACCAGTTCGGAACCACTAGTACAGTAGTGCAAATCAACCTGTATGAAGCTTAAATACTGAGATACAGTGCATCGCGAATCAACATCAACATCAGCACTATCCAAATATTGACGCATTAATGGTATTAATCCTGGAAAATCGTCACCGCTCCCTGAAACGATTATTCCTATCGTAAATTCCAAAACTGACAATTACTAAGCATCTACCACTGATTTGATTTTCATTCGATGGAAATTACAATATAGTACATTGTAATTAAAATAGTAAAGAAGTAAAAACTGCAATTATGAATAACAGAATCCAAAATCAAACCACACTACTGGGAATAAGTTATTTAAAAATGCGCAATAAATCAAGATATTTAGATTGCAAGAATTACCCGCAGATTAAGTCCGATTTAGTTAATGCTAATGCTACTCAAACTTCCAAATGTTCACCATTAATGATTTCATTGACAGTCATCTCTACCACATCATCAGAATCGAGTGTACAACCTGCTTCTCTTGCACATGGTGGTGAGTTGCAAGTTGCAATACGCTTACGGAAAAATAGTTTTTGTTCCATCACGGCATTTCGACGTTGTGCACGTTTCATATTCTCCGTAACAGCAGAAATGGGCAAAATAAAGTAATGTGAAATGATATCATCACCCTGGAAATTATGCTATGCTGCTACCCTCAATTCGAATTTTTGTCATCATAAATTAGAAAGAAGAACGACAAGACCGCCTAAAAAAATTGGAAATGCTAGACCTGAGATAGCATAATTTAAATAAATCTAAGTTAAGATAAACTAATTTAAATGCATATAAATTACAATCAGTGAAAGCTTTCGAACCCTCAGCAATCTTCACTATTCGAAAGCAAAGTCAGGTCACTTAATTAAAAGTGTTGCAATTATAAAAGCTTCCGTCGAACCTTCAAATCTAACTTCCTCTCTCGACCAGTATAACTGAATGAAGATAGAATAATATAATATAATGGTATCTTCAAGCGCTAAATGATTTCCAACATGATCGTATTAGAGGTGCATTAAGCTTACCTTGTTAAAAGTACAACAAAACAACAGTAAGCTGCGTTTTCGAAATCTGTTAATTGCACTTCAGTTGGTCGAAATTCGACACGCCAACCAATTTCTGGTGAATCGGGTGGAGGTGGCTTGAAACGCATATTCATCCAATTTGAACTCTGAACTGTTTCGAAATGTTCAGTTGTCTTCATGTCATCTTGCTCAATACGTTCACGATATACCTATAAAATATCTATAAAAAGGAAAGCAATGATCAAAAGTAATGATAAAAAGGAAAGTAATGGGAACTAATGACCAAAATAGATTATGAATAATAGTATTATAAATACTATGTAAATGTTGTTTCTACCTTGAATACTGGAAAGTTCTTACGAATAAAGTGGAAGAACTGAGTTGTTTTCTGAGCTATAACAACCAGCATATGTAAGCAAATTCATTAACCTGCAAAGGATCGCGAGTAAACATATGCGCAACATGTTGTGCAAGAAGGTTATCAATTCCACCATCCATTAACTGCTTATAAATCTTATCGTCATACTGAAGCGGTATATCGTTGTATCTGAAATGACAGATCTTGTCCGAAATATAGAGTATTTATCCTTGTCATATAAAATAAAGAAGTTGCAGTTAATAAAAATAAAAAGTCAATACCGGACACTTTTCAGCTGTTTCCAATGTTTCTAAAGCGCCGTTAGATAGAAACACGGGTATTAAAGTTAAAAGTTAAGAGAACGCATTATTGGCAACATATATCATAAGAAACTGGAAGGTAAAAAGAATAGACGATTACAATTTCCTACATAATTGGGGAAACTGTTTTTAAGAATAAAGTTAAAGTAAAAGATATTATAAAAGCTGCATCACTCCAATAAAATGAAAAATGGCAAATTTAACTTACGATTCAGAGCAGGGAGAAATATAACAATCAGTTGTATCATATCGACTCTTTTCCAGTACAAATTTGTTATTTTTCAATGGCATCAAACCTCTCTCTTCAGCTGTACGATCGTCTACACTCTAAAACGCGAAAACGAATACTTAGAATAAAACATGTCTCCATCAGAGTTTCACCAAACTTTAAAAAGGAGGAAAAAATAAACCTTTACTTGTTTTTCAATATAAAGAAACAACGAAAAAAAACCTTTTCAATGTCCAGGCGCATACAGACATTTTACTGTAAAATCCTCAGCGTTAGAAACTCATTCAAGGACCTAACAATGAACATAAAATATGTCTAAAAATTAGAATCAAAAAGCCTTTAAATAATGCGATATATTTCACCAAAAGATCTCATATGATTACCTTACCGCTGATATGACATCCCAACGAGAATCAACATCAGCCAATCGTGATCGAAAAACAGGTGTCGCAGCTGATAATGCTAGTAATACAGGTGTTACTGGCGTCAGTTGGTCATATAACCATCGCGCTTCATCAATATTGACAGCCTAAATTAAATTAACTAAAGTCCGAAAGACAATTAATTTAAAAAATTTATCAAAGATAGGCTCTTTGTCATAAATATATATCTACTTTTTGGTCGATTAATTTGTCGTTGGAAGTTACTAGATTCTCATTGTTTACTAAGATTTCCATTTAATAAAAATAAACAAAGAAGATGCCGATGATAAATTTTAGAAGAAATTATAATCACATGTGAGTACAAAAAGATCAATATTGGTATATTTCTTGACTTTTCTACCGAAAAAAAAGAAACATGGGAAATAAATTTTCCTTTTTTGCAGAAAGTTTTGAAGGGAAAAAAATGTAAAAATCACCTGAAAAGTGACTTGCAAACAACAACAACCCATTCCGAAGCCCATATGATCCATATAAATATGATCTGGTTTAGCAGCTCGTGCAGACTGACCTCCATCTTTTGCCTGTGTAAAATTTTCCTGAAATTATAAAAAAGAACTATTAAGGAATGTGTAAGTAAAGAAATATTAGGTAATTTCTTGAACAGATCTTAGTGTTGATTTTTTATCGAAAATAATACCAATTATTGTATGAATACAAGTGAATGAATTATAAAAGCTTGGTCATATTTTCATTGATTGTAGCATTACAAAGTCTCTTGTTATTAATCAGATACTAAAAAGAAATCTTAGTATCATGAAATATGACAGTTTACAAGAAATATGTAATACTTTCATATGTCAGACTCTGAAAGACACTTCAAAATTGTTATGCAAATGAGCGGTCGTAAGCATACCTGATATGGATTTGGTGTATTGCTGTCTTTATATATTGGCACATTTATGGCAACTTTTTCACCACGCCGCTGCTTGATATTTCTTACCAAATTCCGAAATCTGAAAGGAAAAAAAAATCACTTGATCAGCATGAAACAGTCGATTCACTGTCTTCCAAAATTTAATAAATCAGGGAAACTGAAATTTCCTTTGCATAATTTGAAGTGATATCTGATACCGCATTCCTGAAGATGTTATATATCAAAATAACATTCCATACCTTGGATGTCCTGCGTAAATTGCTTCATCAGGAAAAAATATCGAACAACCAAAACTGTTAGTATCATCCGGATGCGGTTCATATGAAGGTGAGGTGAAATCTGGCGTACCCAAAGATGGAAATGATATTGACATAATTGATTCGTCATTTTTCAACAACCGTGTAACTTCAGCTCGACGAGATATCATGTTACTTTCTACTACATTAAAGCATGCCAACAAACCTAAATTCGGGAAAACGAAAAAAATCTTGGAATAATAGAAAATTTCTAAGCTATACCTACTCATAATATTGCTTTATATTAGATGGTATGCATAATTACTCGTCAGAACAACATGGAACGTACAAGATGATAAGCTTGCTCGTGCTTTTCATTGAAAAAATTTCATGTAGTCGCAAAACAAACTAAATAAAGAACCTCCATAAGGTGCTCCCGGTGTTCCTTCAATCATGTATGCCGCAAATTCTGGACGCCATAGGCAACAGTTTTCATTACCCAATAGTGCATTCAATTCTTCGCCAGCTTGCAATTGATGAAGAAGCTCTTCTGCTCGTAAACTTACCCGAGCCTAAATGGCTTTAATGAAAAGAAAAAAGAAGAGCACCTTATTTTATTTCAATCCCTTTTTCACCATAATTCCTTATGCTGACCCCTCATCACCCCTCATCATCTCTGGAACGTATGCCGTAATATATTCAATGAATCATATCACTTTTTAATTTACAACAAGCAGTTAACAACAGTAATAGAAATGATAAAAATCATGTACTATTAATGGGGATTGAGTCGTACAACAATGAAACAGATTTAAAAGAATCATAGCTCACTTCTTTTTCTCCTGTTGCACTGCTTTACCTATTTTTCAATTTAATCCACGAACCTTCTTCGCATCATCATCAAACTTAACAATCGTATATTCAATTTCATCGCCCCATTTCAGTTGATCACCTTCACGTCCTTTCAATCGATGATAGAGAGTAATGAATTGTGCAATACCGTGCTCCTAAAATGGATAAGTTGCATATAATTATCATCCTAATTTCATTTCTGACATAAAAACTAAATCTTCTTCTTAGAGAGAAAAAAAAAGAACACTCTCTTTGACATAAGAAACAACAAATAACAAATCCACAATAGAATACTTCAATAAATAATTAATTATACGAAGACAAAAGTTAATTATGCCACAAATTTGGCAAAACATAAATGAATAAAGGACGATAGTTTAAATTTCAAAGATAATTATTTTGAAGTAATCTAGTACTGAATTTATTATTCGATGTCACAAGACATTTTGTTTAACATAAACACTGAAATATTTGACAGATAATTCAATCACATCAGGCAAATGTATATTTAACTGCTTCACATCGAAATACAAAATTCATCGCTTACTTTAATATAGTCAACGCAGGGTGCTATTTCATTCCATGATAATGGTGTCCCAAGCGTTAATAAGCCCATACCGGTTTCAAATCCTATAAGAACGTAGATTAAAGCTTTTGAATGGGTAAATATATTTGATAAAGCAAATAAAACTAAAAATAAAAAGACAAAGAACTCAAAACTGGAAAAAGAAAAAAAAACAACGAACTTTCATTATTTTTACAAAAAAATTACACTTCAATCCTTGAAAGTTTCAGTTCTTAACAATAACAAAAACAAGAAATAAAACGACAAATAAGAACTGGTTGAAATAAAAGAGGAAATATGTTCCTTTAATTGTTTCAACGTTACAAAATATCATTTTAATCATTCTTTCTTTTCCTTTAAAGTTACAAACATTACTTTTATTCAACAAAGTAATGTCAACGCTGATTATAGGTAGCCTAAAAATAGCTAAACAAGAATGACAATGAATTATATTAATGTAAAACTAAACAGAATTCACAGCGGAAATCAAAAAATAAAGCACGGTAGCAGTTACAGAAAGAACACTTTTTAAATTACGAAATAATTCCAAAAATAAAAAATGGAAGTAAATCATGAATTAAAGAAACAAATCAAACATTCAATGATGGAACAAGAAATCAATAATTCGTTGAATGGAAACATTTATTACGAAAGATATCATAGATACATTATTAGCGAGTTATTAATTTAAAAGAAATTTAAATAATTTTTGGATCAATGTGCTAAAATTACAAATTCATAATTTTCAATAGCGCTGATCGAATTTAACGATATGATTACAATTATTGATGTATAAAACAGCAAATCATACTTAACGGCAAGTGCAACATTTAAAAAAAAAAAAGTAATAAGACAACAAGTTAAATCTGACACTTTCTAATATATGACATGTGACTGATAACAAATGATAAGCAACATTACAACAAAGCTAAGTTGATAATTTTCTAATCGAACAACTCATATCACAACTGCCAACATGGTTTCTGATTAATGAATAAAGGAAAGGGAAAAAGCATTCTTTTTTTAAGAAAACAATAAAACTTTCGTAAATTTCAATTACAATAACAATTCAACAATACAAATGATAAAGAAGCAAATAAAGTGATTAAGTAGAAAAGTCTTTTTTATCAGTCCGCAAAATGCCTTCCTTTTTCCATTTCCTTTTTATTTTTTCCTTTCTTCTTTAACTTTTTTTTTTTTAACCGTAACATTAAACTAAGGAAACATTTTGGGAAGTAAAATGAATACAACTTGTAACATTTGCATGGAATATTACACTACCATAAAAATGATGAAACAAAAATGATGAAAGTATGCTCTTTTTCCTTTTTTCCCTTTTTTTTTTTGAATATCGCCCATTTCAATGATTCACAAAACAAAAATTAACATTGTTAAACAATAAAGACAAAGAAAAGTAAAAATATTATTTAAATAGTAAGTAAAAATAAAAGTACCAGCAAAATGGATCAATGAGTTACGGTATGACGTTATGTAATATGAATTGTTCACGTAAAGAATAAAGTTGTTTTATACGTCACAAGTATGAAATATATGACACCTGAACTTAGCATCTAAAATGATTTTAAATTTTCATGAATTATACTAGAATCATTATAGTGATAACAAAGTATTATATGATAATTATGAATCATATTATTATATGATTTAAAACACAAAAATTCGTTGTTTTTTTTTTTTTTTTTTTACTACAACATAATATATTAGACAAAATGTTTTGCCAATCTTAATGAACTAACAATTTTCAAAAAAAAATGAACTAACAATTTTTTAAATGATCCATAGACTTTTATTTAAACATACTTCGAAACATACGAAAATAACACTGCTAATTAACGAATTGAATTGCTCATATAATTATTCTCTAACAAAAATAACCAACAAAACAATAACGATTATTCGATACTGTTCGTGTAACAGAGTCATTGATCATTCATGTAATTCAACTCCGATTACGTGAATCATTCAGTTTTCATCATAATATGATACCTATTCATCATAATATGATACCTAACGCAAATTACGTTAGGCTAAAGAATACTTTGACAATATTAGCGATTAAATTATTTTTTTCGCCCGACCAAAAACAAAAGATTCACCTGTCAACGGCTAAATATAAAAATATATAATGAATAATTTAAATGAAAAAACAAGGAAAAAAAGAAAAAGTTTAGTAAAAATTTACCAATAAAAAGTTGAAAATAATGAATTTGACAAAAAAAGAGAGAAAATCGAGTGAATAAGTAAATGAATACAAATTCAATTATTAAAATATGAAATACTGTAGTGTTTGATAAACAGAAAATATCACCATAAGCGGAAAAAAAAAAAGAAAAGAAAAGGGAAAGGAAAAAATTTTATGCATTGCAAAATCTGACCACAAAATATTTGTGACCAAATTTCCACGGACCGTATTAAAATGAAAATTTGTGTCTTAATGTTTATGTGACAATTGCCAAATTAGGAATTCGGTTATCAGGGAAATGTTTGTCCACTTTTTACGATAAGAAACGGGAAGCACTTCAGTTTGCTACATTTGGACAAATTAGTTGTAATTAATTATTGGCAATAATAGTGTTGTTAGATTTAATATTGAACTGGAAACAAAATATTACAAGGTGAAGAGCAGCAGTAATGGTAGTAGTACCGGAAATAATATAATTAGTTGTAATATAATCGAAATTAAATAGAATACTTATATTAAACAATAGTAATATTTACCGGTTTTTTTTTTTTGTTAGACAGAGTGAATAGATTGTTAGGAATTCATTATATATTTATTTTGAAATGTAGTAGCACACCATGTATTTGTGGTGCAGTTTGGAAATAATTAATGCATATTGGTATTTTGTTAGTAGTGCAATATTAGTAATTCTAGCAAATAATATTACTATTGACGTAATAATCTGACAATACTTTATTATAAATTATTAGCATATGCGGTAATGATTAAATGTAATTATAACTGTGCAATTAATTACTAATGTATATTAATGTATGAATTTCATCAAATGGCGCTTATGTATGAATTTCATCAAATAGTGCTTATATTGTCAATCGTTAAAAATTCCCATTTTCGTCCATTAGCACCATCGTTTACCTTTTTTTTTTTTTTTTAAAACATTTCTGTGTACCAATTCAACAGTTTAGTTGATTTACATTACCTTTGTGTTATTAAGTGGAATAAGCGGAAATGGTTTAAATTTTCTATTAGCATAATGCCGTTGACTTTCTTGAAATAGACCATACGTCATTCTTTAAATACCTTGTTAACTTTGATTGGTTCTTATCCATCCATCACTTCGTCTGCGTCAATGTGTATATAATATTCTGACCGAAAAAAAAGAGTTTTCATCTCTTTGTCAACGTGGAAATATACAACTTAGTGGAATGGAATTAGGTTCATATTTGAAATTTAATTTCAGAGATTTCATTTGTTTTATAAAATGGCAAGCAACTTCTACGATGATAGTATGGAGTCGTCTCCATCATCGTTGTTTCGATTATCACTACAGGTAGTTGCGAGAACGATGTTTGAATATCACTGGTTTCCTTCCATTGAGAACCCTCTACCATCGGAAATTTCTGATTCGTTGATGGCTACACTTCGTTTCAACAATTGGCTTAACCGTAAAACATTGGCACTCTTTGATAAACGTTTCCGCCTAACCGAGGTTAGATTATTTGTAAAGTAATAACCGATGTTAGATTATTTATAAAGTAATATCATCAAGTAACGATTGACGAATAGTTCATGGTCAAAAGTCAACATTATCGGTCATAAAATGGTGACATGAAGATGCTGACAAAAGAAGTTCGGGTTCTCAAACAAAGAGAAAAATAATGGAACTAATTTGAAAAATGTTCAAATGTCAACTTTTCTATGTCTTTAGCATTACTGGAAAACTCATGTGCGCATTTTTTATTGGTATCGATTCATTTTTCAAATCATGTTCAAAGTATTTTTAATTTTCAAGAGAAAATTTGAAAGGGCTAGAAGAACTACCAGTTTTGAATCTCCTTCTTATGTATGCTATGGCTTCTATCAAAAGTTTCAATACTTTTCCGCTGGAAAAAATAATAAAGTCCAAGGTGTGATCTTTATTTAGAGCTTCATCGGGGCATTGATATTTTTTTTAGCATTTATTAACTGGGAAAGCATTCTGCAAGAGATTCGTAGTAATTAAATTACAGGTACATTTATCATGTTCTTTGTTGTCGGTGATGTCAGTTGAAATGTTGCGAATGCATCTAATAAAGCGTCTTACTATCCGTGACACTTCAGTTGGCGATTCCGTTCGTGATTTGCATAGTATTTTACAGTTGCTCGGACCTCATGCATTAACATCTCTGGAGTACGTGGACATGTCTGGTAAGTTAGCATGAAACTGTGATTTGTGAAGTTTATCGATTCTTCTATGAGCATACTTTGACTAAATCAGTTGGATTTCCGTGCTACGCCTTGATTTTTAGGGTTTCTCTTTTTTGATGATCCTCTTTTATCGTCGCTAACAAGTTTGATGTAGGAAATGGAAACTGTTCAGCTCAACTGATACAGCTGGACTGAACAGTCGATATGTGAACGAAAGTTAACTTTGTATTACCATGATTTTTCTACCATTGTTCACTTTCAGGTATTACACCAATCACATATATTAGCTGCCTAGCAGATTTGAAGTACTTGACAACTTTGATTGTCTCTGAAACACCAGCATTTGGAGATGCTGAATTAAAAATGGTGTGTAAAGAAATGCGATACATGAGAGTTCTTGATTTATCGCAAACAGTTATTACAACAATTTCTCCGTTAAAGAATTTGATGTAAGCTGTTTTCACTTCTGTTGATCTACCTCATTTTTTCTTCTTTACTTTTATAGATTCAGCTATTATTTTGTATAAGATAAGTGATTTTCATATTTTCCAGTTAAAAACCAAGCCTATGTGAATAAAATTGATTCTATTTTCAGTGGCACTTTGGAAGTGCTTGTTATGCATCGACTTAGATTTTCTCGCGCTGTAAACATGAATGGAGCTCTGGATACATTAGCACTTCTCAATAAGTTAACATTTCTGGATATATCGGACAAAAAAGTTGATGTGTTTTTACCAAACGGGTATGTTTAGTAGTTTAAAGGAATTTTTGATTGTTCCATTGCTGTTTAAAATATACTTATGGTTAAGTACATTTTTATGTTTCATTTTTTATAAAGACGCAAAAGATATGCTTTAGTGAAGTGACAATCCAATATTCAGTGTAGAACTGATGATCTATGATGCAATCGTTATTATAAGGTTGAAATAAATGAACGCTTGAAACATATGTCTCCAAATTTAGTAACTGGCACACTCAATGAAATGACCACTAATTTAGCTATAGTGAACCGTTTCAAATTGATATCGGAACACTGGTGATCCGTGATATCGTAGAATTCGGCCCATGGTGGCCGAACCTTTGCTCCTTAGACGTTGCTGGAAATGCATTGAATTTTCATAGTCTTGTACTTACTATTGATTACGTTACAAAATTCATATCTATGCATCCACATTTGATCTACATATCTCTTTTGGACACCTCTTTAAATCGACATCCTTATCAATATCCGTATGAAAGGGATAAACCATTGCAAGTAAGATTTTGAATATTAATGCAGAAATGTTGTAATTATTTTTCAATTTATGAACTATCTGAACATTAAAATTTTGTTGATGTGAGTGTATTACATTCGTTGTTGTTGCGCGACAGATAGCTAGCGGTGGCACACGTGATCAATGTCTTCTTTCATTGCAAAAATATTGGCGTCCAGATCGAGAGGCTTTTGCATCGCATGCATTACAAGCCGTATATTATCTTCTACAAACCTCCTATGATGAATTTCAGCCCGCTGATTTGCGTCTCACTGTTCGGGTAAACTTTTCACTTAGCAAGTTTCCTCCATATGATTGAAATTTCATTATGTTCGCAATTATATGTCGTAGCCACTCATTTTGGCGAATTTAATCGGAAATTAATGAAAAATGAAATTTACCATAGGCGATCGACGTTTCACCTGGAATTTTAGATTCATAACTTTTTCTGAAATTTGCAGGGTGTTGTTTTATCCATGCTTAATCACAAAAAAAACATTGCAATACAGATGGCAGGGAGCGCTTGCCTTTATCATCTCTGCAAGTAAGTTTTGGATAATTGGCCAGACTGCTAGTGAGCTAGTAATGAAATAAACGGTAGTTAAGGCAGATATATTGTTTATCCTTGTTCATTTATGTAATCTTTCAAATGTATAACAGCTCCTGATTGTTTTTGTATTTATCGAACAAGCAAGTTTTTGTAGATCGAAGCGAATTAATCAACTTACCGCGCTGGAGACACGACACTGCGTTGATCGGTGCTTAGATGCGGCAGAAAATCATCCTCGGATGGTTCAGGTAAGATTATCTTGTTATTATCGTAAAGATAACGGTCCCATCTGTTGGATAAAAATTCAGGAAAAGTGCAAACGAAGGACTTCCTTCACCTCACTCTTTTCGCAATTAACTTTCCTATCTCTAAGTTAGTTATTCTGAATGAAATTCATTTTTGCTTCCAGCTGCAAAAGAATGTGTGGCTTACTGTATGTAGCGATCACTTATTACAATCACTGAATTTTGATATATTTCGAACATGTGAAGTAGCTTTAGAATCAATGGTAAACACACGGGACCCTTCCGTTTCAAGGTAGAGCTCATATTTTCATGAATGAAAAGGTTAAGATTTTTTGCTGTTAAATTCATTTTCTCTGAGGGACTGGATTCGTTATGTCTTGATATTTGAAACATGGGACAAATTCATTAAGCTGATTCCTACCTGAGAATTTTTTTGCCAGTTCCAAATTCGCGAATGCAGTTTTTATTCTAAAATTTAGCGGAATTCCACACTATTTTTTGTTGCAGAATGACGATCGCAGTTGTATCAATTTTGGCACCCAAATTGCCAACAGAACAAAGCCATCGTTTAGCTACAAATAAGCGGTATGTTGCGCATTTGATTGAAATGATCAATGAAAATCTGGATAATCCCGACAATGGACACGACAATTTCAATAATTTCACAGTAAAATTTACTCTCTCTGCACTCTGGAATTTGACAGGTATTTTACTTTCATGTGGAGATGATATATATAGCTTTCTCACGTTACTCATAATGTGTTGTTTGCATGACTCACCAGGTATTTTAAGCCGGAATTTTGGAACCTTACCGTCCAGTGGTGAGGTTTTAGTTTTCTAGTCCGCAAAAGCTGGTTGATAATGCGGATGATGTGTTTACTAATTTCACAACAGGTTTTTTTTCCACTATGACGTGCGATAAGTGCGTTTTTTTAACCGTATTCATGAGTCAAAAATAGATAAATTTAAATTGTTAAAGAAGTAGATAAACAATAAGAGAACAATAAGTAAAATGATTTATATTAACAGTTATAACTACTATAAAGCGTCACTTTTAAATGTGAGGACTGGTTGTTCTGCCAAGTTCTCTTATTTTCCGGCGCTTATTTCTTTGGGTTTTTTTTCAGCTTATCATCTTTCTTTTGTTCTGTTTTCATTCTGATGATTTGTTTTAGACGAATCGCCGGTTACATGTCGATTATTCGTGCAGCTTGGTGGTATTGCAGCTGCATTTGGCGTTTTGGAACAATACCAAAACAATACAAATATACAAACCAAGGTTCTTGGCCTTTTGGTAAGTGCCTTTTGTGGTTCGCGATATATAAAAAAAAAAAAGTTAACCATCTTTACATACTATGTAGTTTGAATACTATGTACTTTACATATTATTTAGTCTCAGTTTACTGCAGCATTACCCTTAATTTCCTGTCATACTTTACCTGGACACCACACATATTGCAGTCTGACAAGGTTGGCTAATGATGAACTAAAGTGTCATACTTTATCTGGGTACCACACATATTGTAGTCTGAAAGGGTTGGCTAATGATGAACTAAAGTGAGATACAGTCATGGAATGTTTAAATTTTTGCTCCGGAACTACCGATAGGCTTAACGTTTACATGGAACCTAAACAGACGATTTTAAGGTACATAGTATATGTTTTTTTTCTTAGGGGAATGATATTGAACGTTAATGATTCTGTTTTTTTTTTTCTAGAACAATATTGCGGAAGTAAAAGGTCTGAAAAAGCGAATAATACATCACCGATATATTCGAACAGTTCTGTAAGTACATTTTATGTTTAACGATTGAAAAGCTAGTGAAAAGCGGAGCTATCAAATAATTCTTAATAAGATATCCACTGTCCTACAGTTCTATTTAATTTATTAATCTTAGAATTGTATATCTCGAAAATTGCAAAGTTGTTCAGAGAATTGCTGGAAAGTGATTTGATGCCTGACAGTTACACTGCAGCCATTGGTAATGCAAGACATATCGACGTTTCATATTTCGCTGCTGGAATATTGGCTAATCTATTAGACTGTGGGCCATGGACATTTGAACCGACATCGGATCACTGTAATCAATCGCTGGTTGGTTTTTTTCAGCTAACAAGCGAGTTATCCATTACCATTTCAACCGTTTTCGTTTTCTCTCCAGTAATAACAGCTGGCATAACGGATAAATAAGTTTCAGATATCTGAGGGTTCTAGAGGCATCCAAGATTACATTATCGTCAGCACTCTTTTGTATTTTGTCGTTCCATTATGCAATATGACAGAATTTCTTGATTTTACTTAATTTTAGGTAATGGCAGTAAAAAGATGGCCCAAAGCACTATTAACTATGGTTGCCTATCGGCAAGTGTTGTTTTTCTCTTTTATAATTTTTGACGGTTATTTTGATCAAAAAGGGAAATGTTTCTTTGATGTTTCTTAAATGTTTCTTAATGTTTCTTTGAAATTTTTTTAAGGGCAACAAGGAAATTGTTATTTTGGTTGACTCTCTGCTGAATAATGACTTGCACTGAAGTTTGTTTATTTGAGGATATGCAATTTACTTTTCAGATCATTCGTGCCATTTTTTGCATTGTTGAGGCAGGATGGTATAACCGGAGCGCAGATGTGGGCTGCATGGGCAATCCAACATGTGTGTATCAGTGATAGGCAAAACAACTATATTAATTTACTGCTTTCACAAGGAGGACGGGAAGAATTTTTACGTTTAGTCAATTCAAAGTTTGCTCATCCAGACGCTGTACAGCTTGCTCATTCCGTGCTCAATTTGATCAAGAACTCGACTTGCGCCCCATCAAAACTCAAAAATTGATTCATACGGTCATCAATTTAAAGTTCATGGGGCAAAAAAGTAAACATATCAATTTTTCCAATTAGTTGATATCACAATCTCTTACTTTTGCTGTCCGTTAAACAGGACTGACATGAATCACTTCATTCTTTCAAACTTGCTCTGTTCCTTTCTAGTTCTAATACTTGGTATTCGTGAAATATTTGCATTTTTCAGGAATATTTCAACCTTAATTTCAATAATTTTTTTTTTGAACAGCATTGAATCTTCATGACGTTTTAATGTGTTATTTTTCACGGTGAGCGGTAGTTGCACTACCGCAATTTGACGTGCTTAGACCTCATTTTAATGTTTTAACATATTGAGAATTTTTTATTTTTTTTACAGTGATTAATGGTACTGAAAGGAGTGGAATCCGTGGAAGTCGTATATTTGTACAGTTGTTCTGAGCTTGTTCATGTTCTTTCACTTCATGGCTCAATTTTGTACATTTCTTTTTTCCTGCATTGTATAAATTATTCAATTATTTAGGTGCTCGTTTTAGATTGTATGTAAAGGTGAAGCATTCATTTGCTCCATCCATTCCTATGTATTCATCATTCATTCGAAGATCTTAGCAGTTTATCAGGATTTCTATCAAACTTCTCATTTTGTTGCACTGGAGTTTTTTCATTTGTTCCAGTATTTAACTATATTTCAGTCTGATTGTTCAGCTGTTACATATTTCGATGATTCCTGCCTGCACTTGATCGTGATCCTATACTATTCTTTTAAAGTTAATTGTACAGTTTTCCAGTTACTGCAATTGATTAAGTGCTATTTTACTAATCCTTAATAGTATGAATAATTAAACAATTACTTCAATCATATATGCATAATGTACATATATTTTCTTATTTTCACTTTTTCATATATCAAGTAATTAACACATCGATAAAATGTTGTACTGTTGTAATTCATTTGGTTAAATGGCTGGTTTTGTTTACCAATTAATTAACGATATAATTTGGTTGTAATTCCTTCAAAATACATTTTAAAAATACCCTCAGTTCTGTTGTAGTTTCTTCACTTTTGTTTTTATTAAATCCAATTAAAAGCATTATAATGGTAACTGGTGATTTCCAACTTATATCTTACTATCGTAAGGATGGCTGCAAGAAAGTGTAATTAACCAAAGTTCCTTAAGAGATAATGATCAAATATTGATCTGTTATATACACATATATATATATATAATTACTAGTTCCATTGAGTTCGTTAATATTTTATGCTGCTTGAGTTTCTTGTTTAAAATTTCAAAATTTTGCAAATAGATTAAATTGAAAAGCATTTTAGATCATAGGGAATCATGAATAAATGAAGGGAAAGATGTGTTAGATATATCAGGTTATTTCATTATTTCATTCCATACTACTTCTATATGTTTATATATATAAATGTGTGTGTGTGTGTGTTTTATTGGTGCGCCGAAATAATGATTTGATTTGAGTATAATAATAACAGATGGCAATGCAATGACCTTCTCACACTTTTATGTTCCTAAAACCCTTTTTCTTCGTGCTCTTTTACTTGGAATTAGGATAAGGAAGAGAAGCTGATGAGAATGACATGAAATTCATTTTAGGACAATACGGCAGCATATCGCAAAGTACAACCAAAATGACATTGTTGGATAATTTATTTAATCCTTTGACACATTCAATTTCTCTTTATTTTACAGTATTATTATTGCTCTATAAAAATTTTTGAAACAAAAAGAATAATGGAAAATTTTTTTAATCTTTTTTTTTCCATTAATTAAATTGAAGTTTTTCTTCTTTTAAAAAAAAAAAGAAAAAGCCGTTTCTTGTGAAGCTTTTTTTTTTTTTTTTTAAGAGATTTAAAAGTGATATGTTAGCATTACTGTAAGTATTTATCCTTTTTTAACATTACTTCTTTCTCTGATAATAATTTATAAGTAAATAATTAACTAATGTTGTAATAATTCGAAAAATTTTCAACCAGAAAATTTCGACCAGAAATCTCAACTAAAATTTCAACAAAATTTTAACCAAATTTCAAGTATTCAAAAAAAAAAACAAAATAAAAGTAATTGGGTAATAGCTCTATCAAATTTTTTATTTTAAAATATCTCACAGGAAGGAATGATATATATATATATATATATATATATATAGTATATGGTTATTTTACTTTAACTAATATAACA